ACATATTTACACATTTTATTTTCTTAAAAATTTTCACTTTCCAATTTTTTAAAGGAAAATATTGTAGTTTTACTGATATTTAACTCCTTACCCTACAGTTGTACAGTAGAAAGTACAGATGTGGATGTATACAGATTTGAGTGGTTCTGCACATTTCTATCTCTTTCCTCACTTTCTTTCTGTCTCTTTGTCCTCCTTGCAGCCCAGCGCTCAGCACAGGAGCTGCCCCTCGTGGATAAACAGAACATGGAAAGCTGTGCCGCCTCAGGGGGGGAACAGATGCTTCTCAGCGGACACAACTTCCAGCATGACTCCAAGGTGGTGTTTGTGGAGCGAGCACAAGGTAGGGAACACGGAGCTGCGATTGTGTGTGTGTGTGTGTCTCTGAGCAATAGGAATTGTTTTGAAATTGCCTCTCTTTTGGGAGGTTTCAGAAGATAATGCTTTAGAGACAAAGGCTGAATCCCAATTTGCATACTTCCCCTAGGTACAAGGATATACGTAATGCTGACGATGATTAATGACATAGTTTTAAGTGTGATGTAAACCTGTACAGGAGTATTGGGTTATAATTAGGCCCACATGGAATCTCTGCGTCATTCGCAAAGTACGTCTCCCAACCCTTGCATGTTAATTAAATTTCATTAAATTTTTCAGTTGCCAATATGTGTCTAGTACACTTAGTTGCGTTTAGCACATCACTTTTGACCATAATCAATTTCACAGATTGTCGCCCCAAAAACAAAAACAGATTCATAATATTATGTTTCAATAACGCATCAGAGAACAATCGCAAACCAATCCTCTTGCGTAGTTCTAGAGGATCTGGACAATATTGGGCCAAAAAGCATGTGTGGGTGCCATCTGGACATATTTGGCATGCTGTTTTCAATGCACAATGATTTGGGATGGATCCTAACCTTGCATACTGTATAGGACGGATAGTGAGCAAACTGGGATTGAGGCAAACACTGCATAACTTCAAAAACTTCCCAATTTCCCAAATACTCTCCCGTCTACCATTGTTTGGATGAACAATTATGCACTTGTAATTGGATTATATTACGTTTTGAAATGCTCATAATTAGATTATAGTTACTTACAAGTCCCCCTGATATTTAAAGTTAATATTTGGTCATATGGTCATATTGACATGCAGGTAAACATCAAATTTGGATGTTTAAGTGTTTTATTTAGTTTTTATTTTAAGATAATTTATTCATTTTAATTTTACATTTTTATGATTTAATTAATTATTAGCCTTTCATCAACTGATAAACCACCAAATGCAAAAAAAAAAAAAAAAAAAAAACAGAATCACTGAGTTGGAAGAAAGATCAGCCCCTTGTCAGTATTTTGTTGAACCACCTTTTGCTTTAATTACAGCCTTTAGGGTTTGTCTCCACTAACTTTGCACATCTAGACTTTGAAATATTTGCTCACTCTTCTTTGCAGAACTGCTCAAGTTCAGTAAAATCTGTGGTCATTCCACAGATTTTCAATGGAGTTTAAGTCTGGGCTCTGGGCTCTGACATGTTGGAAGGTAAACCTTCTTTCCATTGACAACTTTCTGGCAGAGGGCAGCAGATTTTTCAATTATCTTTTGCTGCACATCAGAAATATATTCTTTGGTTTTTCCCATTGTGATGGATGATTAAGATAATTGGGCTTTGTTTTCCAAATTTATATTTCTGTGAAACAGGAAGCCATGGCTGGATAATTTCATGTTCATAATCACCCTGGAGTGCTCAAAATTGTGAATATGAATGGGAATATACTTCAGAGATATTTTACTCATAAGAATTTCTAGGGGTGCCAATAATTGTGTCCAACATGTATTTGAGAAAAACATTTATTTCATAATGATATTTCCCCCCATTTTAAATTCTTATTATCCAATGAAAGGTTAGATTTTTGTGAATTTTTTAAATAAAAGATCAAAAGGATTAACAATGCAGATGGCCATGACCGTATATATACAGTATATAAATGTACAAAAGTTCAGATGTTTGGGTCAGTAAGATTAATACTAAAAAATGACAGTAAAGACTTTTGCATTGTTAAAAAAATCAAATAAATGCAACATTCTTTTTATGCATTTATATTTATCAAAGAAGCCTGAAAAAAGATATAATAGTTGTTACAAAAATATTAAGCAGCACAGCCATTTTCAATTGTGATATTAGAATGATTTCTGAAGGATCATATGACACTGAAGATGGAGTAATGGAGTAATTAATTTTTCCATCAAAGGTAAAAAAAAAAAATTTAAAAAAAATAAAACATTTATTTTAACAATAGTTCACAATATTGTTTTTTTTATTATTATTTTAAAAAATGCAGCCTTGGTGATTCTTTTAAAAACAATAAAAAGTCTTACAGATCCCAAATCGTGTGTGTGTATATGTATGTATATATATACTGTATATATATATATATATATATATATATATATATATATATATATATGCTAGTATATACACATATTTACACATTTTATTTTCTTAAAAATTTTCACTTTCCAATTTTTTAAAGGAAAATATTGTAGTTTTACTGATATTTAACTCCTTACCCTACAGTTGTACAGTAGAAAGTACAGATGTGGATGTATACAGATTTGAGTGGTTCTGCACATTTCTATCTCTTTCCTCACTTTCTTTCTGTCTCTTTGTCCTCCTTGCAGCCCAGCGCTCAGCACAGGAGCTGCCCCTCGTGGATAAACAGAACATGGAAAGCTGTGCCGCCTCAGGGGGGGAACAGATGCTTCTCAGCGGACACAACTTCCAGCATGACTCCAAGGTGGTGTTTGTGGAGCGAGCACAAGGTAGGGAACACGGAGCTGCGATTGTGTGTGTGTGTGTGTCTCTGAGCAATAGGAATTGTTTTGAAATTGCCTCTCTTTTGGGAGGTTTCAGAAGATAATGCTTTAGAGACAAAGGCTGAATCCCAATTTGCATACTTCCCCTAGGTACAAGGATATACGTAATGCTGACGATGATTAATGACATAGTTTTAAGTGTGATGTAAACCTGTACAGGAGTATTGGGTTATAATTAGGCCCACATGGAATCTCTGCGTCATTCGCAAAGTACGTCTCCCAACCCTTGCATGTTAATTAAATTTCATTAAATTTTTCAGTTGCCAATATGTGTCTAGTACACTTAGTTGCGTTTAGCACATCACTTTTGACCATAATCAATTTCACAGATTGTCGCCCCAAAAACAAAAACAGATTCATAATATTATGTTTCAATAACGCATCAGAGAACAATCGCAAACCAATCCTCTTGCATAGTTATAAAGGATCTGGACAATATTAGGCCAAAAAGCATGTGTGGGTGCCATCTGGACATATTTGGCATGCTGTTTTCAATGCGCTATGATTTGGGATGGATCCTAACCTTGCATACTGTATAGGACGGATAGTGAGCAAACTGGGATTGAGGCAAACACTGCATAACTTCAAAAACTTCCCAATTTCCCAAATACTCTCCCGTCTACCATTGTTTGGATGAACAATTATGCACTTGTAATTGGATTATATTACGTTTTGAAATGCTCATAATTAGATTATAGTTACTTACAAGTCCCCCTGATATTTAAAGTTAATATTTGGTCATATGGTCATATTGACATGCAGGTAAACATCAAATTTGGATGTTTAAGTGTTTTATTTAGTTTTTATTTTAAGATAATTTATTCATTTTAATTTTACATTTTTATGATTTAATTAATTATTAGCCTTTCATCAACTGATAAACCACCAAATGCAAAAAAAAAAAAAAAAAACTGCAGTAATGTTTAATGCATTTGATGCTGTTGACAACAAAGAAATTAATTTATTTTTTAGAACAATAATCCCATTTAAAGGTAGTTCAAAAGTAATCTAAAAGTAATCCAAAAGTAGTCAGAATACATTGCCTGAAATAAGTAATCAGGATTACATTACTGACTATGATTTTCATGTAATTTGTAATCACTAACAGACAATAGTTTGTTCGTAATCTACCCAGTACTAATCCCGTCCCTAAATTATCCCATTGGTTGAGCCAATATTGTGTTGTGCTGCTTGTGTTTAGTTTGTTACGAGTCATGCAAAGTCATTACTGCACTTGTTTAATATGTCATTTAATTTTAAGATGGTGTACAGTTGGCCTACAAATGGTTCCTCATAAATATATTAAGCAGCACAACTCTTTTAAAAATTGATAATAATAAGAAATGTTTCTTGAGCACCAAATCATATTAGAAGGATTTCTAAAGGATCATGTGACACTGAAGACTGGAGTAATGACTGCAGGAAATTCAGCTTTGCCATTACAGAAATATCTTAAAATATACATTAAAATAGAAAACCAAATTGCAAAACTTTCCAATTTCCCAAACTTTCCCCCATCAGCCATTGTTTGCATGAACACTAATCTCATCCCAAAATGATCCCATTGGTTGAGCCAATATTGAGTCGTGCTGCTCAAACAAAAATTAGTTTTGATGCCACTAGTGGTGCAGAAATCACACACTGTAACTTCCTGTCCATAGGCCAATGGAAGTAAAAGGATCCAATATGCATATCGTCCTCACTAGGCTTGATGCAGTGGCTTATCTGTCTGTTATTGTCATGAGCATCACTGTTTACTCATTAGAGCATTTATACTGTGACGGTCCCCAAGAAACCGCATAGACTTTTGTGTGGAAAAGTCCTTCTTTGTTCTTAAACTCTGGTCTTCAGTAGTGTGAATGTGTGTGTATGCTTTCCTCCAGAAAAACCCTCCTACCACTTCCTCCATCCCTCCTTCTTCCCCTCTCTGCCGTCAAAATATCCCTCCCAATGCCAGAGTGCCACATGTGGAGCACATTAATGCGCTGTATTTTTAACCCAACAGATTTACATTTCCAGAACTTTCCATTGCCTGTGCTGCCCAGGAATGGAGCCCAAATAGAGAGAGAGTGCAGTCTGGGCTGTCCCTTGTGTCTGGGCGTTTGTTTTGATTTTTTTTTGTCTGTCTTTATTCAGGTCTCTCTCTCTTTTTCCATATGGAAAATAGAAGCAGTAGCTCTTGACTGTTGATACCTGAGATTTACAAACAGTCATTTATTTCCTTGATGAGTTTGTCAAAAATAAAAAAAGTGAAAAAAAGGCAGGAGGTGCAGACAAGGCCAAGGCCGAGTAATGTAAACATGCGGGATATTTGGCGATCCGTAACACAAAGCCTGAAGGAAATGGCCTCATTGTTTTACCTGTGAAGAAGGGAACTCTGGGAAATGAAGCTGCTGAAATGCATTGAAGTTGTAGAATGATATTGAACCTCTCTAATATAGTAGACAATTCTCTCGCTCTCTCTT